GGGGGTTCGGGGTTGGGGATGGGGTTGGTGACGGGGAGGGGGTGTGGGCGGATCACTTTCCCGGGATTTTCAAAACAAATTTGAAAATTAGAAAAAATCTGAAAACAATATATGTTATGCAGAAAAAAAACTGAACAACTTTTGCCTCAGGATCATATTAAAATTCCTCACCGAATTTGAGATAAAAAAATAAAGCGATTTTTTTGTTTTTTTTAATAAAAAAAATAAAATAAATAACTTTTATCTCAGGAATTTTCATTTTTTATCTTTTAAAATAACAAAAGACTAGTTAAAAATAAAAATAAAAATAAAAGTTTATAGATAAATAACTTTTGCCTCAGGGATTTTTGTTTTTTATTTTTAAACAAATACAAAAAATTAGTCAAAAAAAAAAAAAAAATACGAGTTTATAGAGCGAAAAAAATTTACAACCTTATATTTTTATTTTTATTTTTTGCCCATTAGTTAAAAAAACAAAATCTGCACAATTCACGGCTAGTTGGCCATGGCCAATTTCGGCCTTTTCGGCCCATCGGCCATGGTCGCGACTAAATTTTTGGCCCCGGTCATGACCGGGTGTGCAACATAGATGCACGCGCCGCCACCGCTCCAAGGGTCGGGCCAGATATCCTTTTTCAGACCGACCTTCGCGGGTTGATGGACTGGCAGGCTGTCACGCAGGATTTTTGATAGTTATATAAAAAAATAGAGGTGTGGTGAGAGGCAGTCACACTTTGTCATACAGCCGAGTAATCAGGGTTATCTCTCCTGCCAGCGGCGACACGGCTTAGAGTGAGGCGTTCGGGTTTATCGCCTGCACCTGGCCCCGTATAAAGGATAGACCCAAAATCACTGGAGTCCCTATCATTCAGGAGTCCTTCGAGTTGCCTTAAGTGTAACCTGTTTTAAAATAATGAGGAAAATAACAAATATGCATCATACATCATAGAGCACTTGACACCGACAATATGAGAAGACCAAAAACAAGACTCTGCAAAAGCATGAGCAGAGAAACGAAACTGAAGAGTAGTACACAGAGTATGCAGGGAGCAGCCATTGGAGGGCTGCAGTCACTTATAAATAATAATGTTGTAATACATCAATAGAGACTGAAAAGAGAGAACCTCAATCAATGATAATAAGCGTTACCCCCTCGTGAGTGAGTGCTGCCGTCTGGGACTCCTCGTCACTGAGAACTCGTATGGCTATAGACGTTGGAACCACATAGTTGATCTCGAGAGGTGGTGCTGGATCAATCTTTCAAATATAGGCCATGCATCTCGCCCTCTCCTCGTCTGCGACGCTCCTTAGGTAAAGCTCCTCCGCAAGAATGATGTCGCTTGAAGTTCCAATCAATATCTCTATAAGTCCTCTCCCGCCAGAGTAGATGTAGGAAACCTCGAGAAAGCGATCTCCATAAAGAGGCTTTCGATAAGCCTGCATGGCAAAGTCCGTCCCGGCGAAATGACTATAACCATCTCCGAGGTATGAGACCGGACCCTCCCCTCTTGGGGGACCGATCACTATCTCAGATCTAGGGTCGTTTGACATATAACAGTCAATCACCCTCAAGAAGATACCGTGCAAGAAGATGTGCGATCCTCCTCAATGTCGCCCTCCGTCGTCTCCACTCGCTGGTCTTCAGCGCTCCCGTAACTGTCCACGAACTCGGTCTCTATGAGTGTCCCAGACGAAATAGTCGCCAAGATCAATGTCATTCACACAGCAGGGCTCTATGTCCGACTCACCCGTATCTGATCTCGGGACGCATGTAGTGATTGGGATCCCGGATCTGGCTATCTCTCTCCTAATCTAGTCATACCTTCTGCCTCTTGTCCTTGCTGCGAGACGCACGAAGGAGCTTGGGGTTGCATCCGCCAAAATTGAAGAGCACACCCCCTAGCAGCCGAAGGTACTTGGGGAAACACCACGTGCAGCCAGTTGTCCCTCCAATAGCTCTCCCTGCACAATATGTAATCCGCAATCCTGTCGTATGTGGTGCCTTTCACTCCCGTCTCTGCCCCCTTCATCGAGTAGGTGATCACGAGCATGTGTCTCCAAGTCGATGACTCATTAGGGAGTCTGGATTTCGGAACCTGGTTACCAGCGAAACTCTGATGTCCCGTATGTCTGTAGCAGAACCTCTCAATCAATCTACCCCACTTAGGGGTAGTCTCACGATGTCGGGCCAGCTTCGATGGAATGCACGCTCTCTGATGCA